CTAGAGTAGCCCCTCAACCATAGTGTACAGGTTATCCCTCAGAATCAGTACTTTGTAAGTAGGGGAGGGGAAAACTAGTCTATTGAAAGTGGCAATTAAAAAAAAAATACAAACTTCCCTATTGTTTGTTGATGGCTGGGATGCAAGAGACTACTTGACTTCAGAGCCTGAAATGTGCTCGTCCACTGTGGCTCTGGTTATTTGGCAGTGGATGGTGAAGGATCTACCTCAACCATGAGAACACATATCTTCATTTAATTATATATACTACACACAGCAATCTTGGCTGTTTGTATTTTGTTGCAATGGAGAAGGAAATGGGGGAAAGAAAATATGGATGATATGCTCTTTGCTGTCACCACATAACTTAAAAAACTGTTTTTGCCCTTGTTTAGTATGTAACCTCATCTCTGGTTGCTGATAGTTGCCTTCTCTCTGGAACAGACTGACATCATTGATCACAGCTTTGCAGTGGAATGGATGCAGGATTTTGAGGCTTTCCAAGATGCCTTGAATCAAGAGACTACCTACGTCAGTAACCTGACTCGTTCAATGAGCCTGGTGTTAGATGAGTTTTACAGCTCACTCAGGGTAAACTCTCTCCTGCTCACCCTGATAAGGTTAACTTTTCAGATAAGCTCCTAACCCATAGATCTGACTTGGAACCTAGCTTAGAAGGAAGTTCTACCTTCTGAAAAACATTGCTTATTAAATACTGTGGGGTTTATAAGGTAAATATGTGGGTAGTTCAAAAAGTTTATGGAAAAGTTGAATTAAAAGATAATATGAATTATTCCATGAACATATTGAAGACCCTTTATAAGATAGGGACCCAACCTTCAGAGAGTGTATGTTATAGTTAGGAAAGAAGGCTATACAAAGAATTCAAACACATGATATATTGTGGTAAGTACCTTAAGAAGGGTTGAAAGTTGGGCTTGATGTTTGTGAGAGGCAGATCAAAATGAGGGATTTTGGAGGGTGTAGCATTAGAGGTATGCTATGAAGGAATGGTAGGATTTATGTAAGCAAAATCAGGTGTGGGTTGCAAGGAGTACATTAATTGTCCAAGCAAAGGCATCAAGAGAACAGAAAGTGGTTTGGTTTGGTTTGTAAGGGTATAGATAATAATAAGTCCTGCCACTTGTTTGGTCTTTATTATACCTTTCTTTTTCAATTTTTTATTTTCCATAGACTTATTTCCATGACTTTTGACCAGATGTGCTGTTTTGTTTTGTTTTTAGCTCGACTTTTTGCCAAGGATTTCTCAAAGTATCTAAACCTCTTTTATGAAGATTTTATGACATTTCAACAAAATAATGTACACCATTTAACATATACAGTAGATTCCTCAGTGGCATTTCTGATGCTTTTTGGCAGGTGGTGGGTGTCTCTGCTGTTCTGGGTACTGGCTTAGATGAACTCTTTGTTCAAGTCACCAGTGCTGCAGAAGAATATGAAAGGTGAGAATAAAGGACAATTCTACTGATGACATTCTTAGTAAACTCTCTGATATGACAGCACTTTTGCCAAGCAAAGCATTTAGGTTTTCATCAGGTATGTATTATATTTGCCCTGCATATGTGTACTGGATCTGACCACACTTAGGGATTACAAGTCCCTGTTAATTTTTTTAAAAAATAGAAATACAAAATCTTTATTGTATTGAATGATTAAGAGCAGGGATCATCAGACTTTTTCTGTAAGGAGCAGATAGTAAATATTTTAGGCTTTGTGGGTCATATAATTTCTGTCACGACTACTCATCTCTGCCATTTTAGGATAAAAGCATCAATAGACAATTTGTAAACAATGGTATGTCTATGTTCCAATAAAACATTATTCCTAAGAACAGGCAGCACGGGCCGGCCCGGTGGCGCACTGCTACAGTGCGCCGCTTGGGAAGCACGGCGGCGCTCCCG